AGACCTGGTTGTGGATAATAAGCTAGAGGAGATGGGCCATAGAATGGGAATCTAGGAATGAATGGTTTCATATCATGAACATCGTGTCCCATTTACTGACGTGTGCTCTTCTATATGCCAGGCATTGTGCTGAGGGCTCTCTGAGCCCTGGGTTATGCATGCCCATGGCAGCATAGGCATACCCATGCATACCTATGGGGCAGATGGGCATTGTTAGTACAGATGAGGAAACTGAGGCTTAAAATAACTCGCCTGTAGCCAGTGCTCTTACAAGGGATGCTTCCAGAGGATAAAAAGACATAAAACACATATTTCTTGAAGTTGGCCAATAGGTTAAAATAGGAATCCTACAAAACCAAGTATGAATTGTATCTTCAAAAGGCGATCATATTGTGGACATTGAGACAATCCAAGGTGTGTTTATTCCAATGCTCTGATCAACATTTATATTATTCAGACCAATGGCCATAATTACTTTTATAGTGAAATGTTTATCAGTAGAATTTTGAAGAAGAAGAAGAAGAAGAAGAAGAAGAAGAAGAAGAAGAAGAAGAAGAAGAAGAAGGAGGAGGAGGAGGAGGAGGAAGAGGAGGAGGAGGAGGAGGAGGAGGAGGAGGAGGAGGAGGAGGAGGAGAAGGAGGAGGAGGAAGAAGAGGAAGAGGAAGAAACATTCATTGAGAAGAGAGAAAAAAATTACTGTCATCAGGCACTCTAGTCCCCCTGCTGTTCTTTCTTAAGCCTAACCACCTATAATAAAGGCCAAGTACAACATCTACTTCTTTTCTTCACATAGGCCCTCCTTAGCAAGCAGAGCTTTCTCTACATACCTGATTCAAATACTTCAGTATAAAACATGAAGACTCTACTTTCATTACTGCTTTCTGGCAATTCCAGTCAAGTCTTTTACCTACAATGTGCAGGATGGATAAGATCAGGTTTCTGCAGACCTCAAACTTTCAGCAAGATATTCCTGGGGAAATGTAAATGGTCCTGGAACTGCCCAGTACGTTATATTTAATTGTTGACTATCTTCCATTTTCATGGTTGGAATGGGAACAAATTTTGAAATGTGGTCAGCAAAATTCCTTTTGTTTATAAATACTCCCAACTGGAGAACGGATGTTGGGGTCATCTAACTTAGACAATTCAGACGATATGATGGTTTGGTATGTACATGTAATAGAAATGACTCAACATATTTTGATCTTTGCTTTCACCTTTATTCTTATTAAAGGTTGCTTTCCTGTTCTGGCAGATATATGATTCTCATAAATTCAAAAAGAGAATTCTATGTGAAATCACTCAACTGTGTAGGAGATAAGAGACAGCTAATTTCTATCTCATTTCGTCTTTGATTCTGAATTAGTCGGCTGAAAATTGCAGTAGGACCAATCTAGATGAGAGAAGGAGATCACAGTGACTTCAAGTTGAAAGACACAGCTGTGAGTTTCTTAGAAAATTCCAAGTACTGCAACCATTCCTTTAAAGATCTCATTTAAAAGGGGGGCCAGCCACCCATCAATGATGAATTTGAAAACTTTGACTATCGCAAAATCTTAACCTTCATCAAGTGGGAAGGGTCTTGTAAATTATGATGTGCTCAATAGAGAAACATCAGCTATTGATCACTTTAAAGTCTATCATGAAAAAAATAATTCTCACCATATTATACCATTTGATTCCTGCCATGTTTTAAACAGAAAATATGCCATAGTTTTAACATAAATAATGTCTATTATTTGGACTTTTGGTTAATTTTGTGTGTGTGTGTTCTCCCATCATTAATAACAAGGAATGAGTAATAAGTTCACAAGCTATCTATTTAGCTATGTGTCTCCAATATTTTAAATCTGACAATATCTTTCTATTACTTTGTTTCTACATGTTAAGAAGAGACGGATTGCTTTTCTATTTCACAGTAACTATTCAGATACCAAGAAGAGTGGTCTATGGAGAAAAATTCATGAATTTCTAATACAGAAAAAGGGAGATATTCCAGAGACCTGTGGGTTCATAGCTTATTCTATGGAGATGTTAAATATTTGGATCCTAAATCCATAATCGCAGTGAACATATGTCCCAGTTTCTACAAGATAGTCCTGGTTTATGGTTTTTACAGGCACCAATATAAATGCAAATAGCAACCCCTTTCACTTAAAAAAAAAAAGTCCCAGTTGAAATAATAACTTATATGGCCATTCTTTGCCAAATAAATAAACAATTTAAAAGACACAATTGTGGCACAAAGAGTGTTCTTTCTGTCCTGCGTAATTTTGCAGTAGCTGACATCATTTCCCCCCAATTATTTCACACACACACACACACACACACACACACACACTTCTGTAGTTTCCATTCTCTAGTTTCAAAATAAAACAGATAATCCATATGCCTTTAAATATTCTATTACAGGGTTTGTTGATATGTCTGATGGAACTAAACTAAACTATAAAATCGTTTACTTCTACTAGTTCAAAAAATTAGAGAAAACATATGACATTCATTCATGGTAGGACTGAGATATCCTCTTTCAAAGGTTTAGGGAATAATGAATACAGTACAAATCCATGCTTTCACGGATACCCAATAACAACTTCTCATCCATTCAAATATCTATTTAGTGCCTTCCATGGGCCCTACCTATAATGGGCATGTCTTGAAAGTACATGAAACACAGAAAACTCCAGAAACTCAGAAACTTTGAGATAAAAAAAACACAAAACAACAACAACAACAACAACAAAATTCTCCACAGGGAATTTTTTAATGTAGGACATTTTCTATGCAAAATTAATGGCTGGTACCTATTAGCTCACAATCAAAGTAAGTATGGAGCTCTAGCTGATTTGCTTAGTGGTTAGAGAGTCAGCCTGGGAGTGAAGGGTCCCAGGTTGGATTTTGGTCAGGGCCACATGCCTCAGTTGCAGGCTCAATCCCCAGCTTGGTCAGGGTGGGCGCAGGAGGCAAGAAATCCATCCCTTTCTCTCACATTGATGTTTCCTTCTCTCTGTGTCTCTTCCTCCCACCTTTCCACCTTCTCTAAAAACCAATGGAACACATTGCTGAAGCTCAGAGGGAAAGCAGGGAAGAGTGGGTGGGAAGAGACCAACCAATGAACTTGTATGCATATATGCATAACCCAGGGACACAGACAATACGGTGGTGAAGGCCTGGTATTGGGAGGGAGGGGTGGATTAGAAGGGATCAGTGGGGGGAAAAGAGGGACATATGTAATACTTTCAACAATAAAGATTAAAAAATAAAAATAAATCAATGGAAAAAACATCCTTGGGTGAGGATTAACAAAACAAACAAAAAACAAAGTAAACATGGGTCCTTGGGCATAGACTTCCACCTCAGTTTGAAATTTCTGAGGGGGTTTTCATGTTAGCCATATTTACATGGCTTCCAGAAAAAAAGAAGTCTTGGGGACTATTAACTAAAAAACAAAGGTGATGTACTTGGACTGGAGTTCTTAATTAGGGTAGTCCAACAAATGAGTGCTTTGTGACTGAGGAGAAAGCAGGATTTCGTCTCTGTAGAGTTTAGAATCATGGAAGCCAGATAAATGAGTAATAACTTTATAATGACTTCCTCATTTCCTTGTCTGTGATGCGCCCACATTTATCAAAGCATGCCCAATGATAGCAATACGTTCAAAAGGAAGGCCATACTATATTTAACAGGAGCCTAAAATGTTATTTTCTTTCATAAAGGAACTGTGCCAACATTCACTACCTCCTTGAAATAGGGACCTAGTGGATAATCCAAATGATTGCCATGAACCAAATTTTACTCTTCTGATTGAGCACAGCTTTTACATAGACCATTCATAAATCTAAACAATCGCCTATTGTTAAGTCAGAAGACAGCCTGAGACAATACATTTATTTTGTTACTCATTCTAGAAGAGCTGAAATTTAGATTTAAACACATCCAAGCCAAAAGGAGCAGTTAAAAACTCCTTGTTAAATAGACAGCGGCTAGGGCAACAAAAATGTACAGACTTTTTCTCCACTACCCACCTGGCACCATATATAGTTACGACAATATTATTGATTTCATTCTCTATGCTGTACTTTATATCCCCGTGCGTATTTGCTAACTGCAAGTCAGTACCTCTCAATCCCTCCACCTTTCCCACACCATCCCCCAAACCGCCTCCCCTCAGAGAGACTTTTTATAGTGATCTATGACCTTTATATGTAACAGGCAATCATTAAGGGAAACACTTAATCGAAACTTGGTTCTCAGCAACTAATGACACACAGAGTGTCCCCCCAAAATGTATACATATTTTAACAGCTGCTAGTCCCATTTTGAAAATGAAGTACATTTTAATAAACACTGTCTTTATCATTATTCAAAGTGGGCATTTTTTGGGGGGGACATCCTATCCATTAAATGTCCTCTGTCAGTTAAAGACTTATAAATAAAATCGGATCATATTAGCTCCAAAATAACACTGATAAGGAGTGTCATTCAAGCAGGATTTTCTGTTGTAATTTCTATTATCAACATTGGTATACAGGTTTAAAACAAATGCCTCTAATGTGTACTCACAAACCAGGCACCATTGGAATAATAGGCTTTCCCTAAAGCTTTTGTAAGAAACGATGGTATATTTCTTTCTGATGTGAGTGTACATAGTATGTTCATCTTAACAACTGAAAAGTATATGCCAGATCCTCCCCTAACAGTCATGTCAGTAACTCAAAATTCCTGGAACTTCCATAAGGGTTAAAACTTACAGTGCATTTTCAAAAAGAAAGTGATTGAGGTATAAGCTGGGATGAAATTCACATGCACATAAATAATTTGCTTATCTACTGTTTCAATATTGGAAAGAGGAATTGATGTAATTACTATGCCATGAGGCTAATAAGCTGGAGTTTTGACTGCTCAGAACTTACTGTATTGATATGTTCAGTCATAGTATGAACTCACACCTTATTTTCCAAGTTATAGGGCACCTCCTTCCAAAATGCTAATATATTTACCTTCATTTTTCTTGATGGTAAAATTCGGGTTGTTGACCATTTCTGGAAGAAGACTGTATAAGAAATAATGTCCGTTTTTGGGATCGTCTTTGTCCATGGCACTCACCGTTTGAATGACCTGAAACATAAAAGCTGACGTCAGCATTTCTGATGACATCGGTGCTTTTCTGATGACATAGATGGTTTGAACCACCTTTAATCTTTTTCAATTTTCTAAATGGTCATGGATGGCTTGAGCCAAGAATAAGGAAAAACACTCATCACTTTAAAACCTCAGCTTTGATGAGTTGATGAAAATTGAGGTCATTACCTCTGTGTCCATTGGGTGTCTGGGGCTGGAAATAGCATAGTTAAGGGTATTTGAAAATTTCCACTGGGCAGTTATATGTTTCTTTCCAATCTGAGAATATACAGGCATCTTGAATGAGATTTGGAATTGTCACAGTGATGGTAGTGCGGCCTTTGAGATGACGGTCTTGGAAAGAAAGGTCTTAAATATTTTTTAAATTTCTTTATTGATTAAGGTATTACATATGTGTCTTTATCCCCCCATTGTCCCCCACCCCCACGCCTCCACTCATGCCCTCACCTCCCTGTTGTCTGTATCCATTCGTTAGGCTTATATGCATGCATCAGCTTTGGTTGGTCTCTCCCTCTTACCCCCACCCTCCCCTGCCTTCCTTCTGAGGACTTAAATCTTGAATCCTCACAATGCTTCTTTAATATTTCTCATCAGGTTGCATTTGTTTGCCAACTAGAATGTTCCTTGGCACAAATGTCATTGCAACAAAGCTTTCTGAAGACTTGCATCTGTTCTCACCCACCAATGAATACTGTTGTCAAAGTGAGTGGCTAAGACATGCAAACAGCGCTTGGGAGTGTGTCCTGAGATGAATAAATTACAGGGATTAGAAGAATTAGCACTACACAGAGAACTGTTTGCACAGATACGCAGACTCGGGTGTCGCTTGAATGTGCTCATTGCATTTGCAAAGCTGCATTAACTTTGGGTGAAGTTATTTCTCGGGATGTCAGAGAATTAGCTTAATAATCCTCATTTATGGTTCTGTGATATTAATCACTTCGATCGGAAACCCTGGGCAAACGTTACTGTAGAAAACAAATGGTAGCTCATGCTTCATGATGAACAACTACAACACCATTTCTACAAGGAATGACTGTGCAGCATGACTGTCAAGATATCAGATTCGCCATCCAACATTTAACAGGGAAATGTTCTCACGTGGATGAAGTTTAGAGACCGCAATGATGATGCTTAAAATGTTATGTCTGTTAGAACAATCATACCCCATTCAACTCTGCCAATGTCACTAACGAGGGAAAAAATAGATGGCTTCTTTTTAAGAAAGCCATATCGTTGCCTTGGAACTTCTCATCTAGACCAGAGGTTGGCAAACTGCCCCTCTGTTGACTAATGAGTTTGCAGACCACTGACCTAGACTCCCGATTCCAATAATTACAGGCTGTTGTTGTTCCTTGTGATTAAGCCCCTATCCCAGTGGTCTGCAAACTCATTAGTCAACAGAGCAGCAAACCGCGGCTCACAAGCTGCATGTGGCTCCAGAGCCACAGTTTGCCGACCACTAATCTAGACAATTTGAGAAGCACACTTTCAGATCACTCTTAGCAGCTGCAGAAATTTGCATTGTATGTGGCGCATGCTATGTGAAAAGCAATGCAGTACGGTTATCTGAGGCATAAGTGAAATAATCTCTCTATTCTACTTCTCTTTTATTAAAATGGAACATATCTGACTTGGTAGATGTTTTACTTCTGTTAAGGACCTCATGCAATGTCAATAACAACCAAAAGTAGCCCAAGATCTAATTCAGGTTTCAGAAAGAGACACAGTCATTAAGGACATGGACTCTGAAATAAAGCCGTTTTGATAGAAGTCATCATTTCACCTTTTGCTCATTGCCTGACACCAAACTCTGAGACTCAGTTTCCCTGCTTTCCTAAATGAAAAATCTGCTAGGGTTGCTTTGATTACTGATGTGAATTCCTGTCAGATGCTCAATGAAATTTAGTCACCATCATTATTATTGTTTTTGACTTTAGGGTCACTATTGGTTTTTGAATGGCATAGCACCTTGATAAGTGTTATCTAAGGAGGTCCCCAATCTCATCGGACTAGAAGAAAATGCCATATGTCTGCTATATATAGTTGCCTAACACCATGGTTGGCAAACTCATTCATCCAGAGCCAAATATCAACAATACAATGATTGAAATTTCTTTTGAGAGCCAATTTTTTAAAACTTAAACTTCTTCTAATGCCACTTCTTCAAAATAGACTTGCCCAGGCCATGGTATTTTGTGGAAGAGCCACACTCAAGGGGCCAAAGAGCCGCATGTGGCTCTAGAGCCGCAGTTTGCCGACCATGGGCCTAGCACATTGACATGTGTGGAGACATGCCCTGGGATTCATTCCACTTTTATAAAAATGAACGAATAAAAGGTACCAGAGGAGAAGCTGTGAAACACGGTTAACTATTTTTTTAATTGATTTTTTACAGAGAGGGAGAGAGAGGAATAGAGAGTTACAAACATCAATGAGAGAGAAACATCGATCAGCTGCCTCCTGCACAACCCCCACTGGGGATGTGCTGGCAACCAGGGTACATGCCCTCCACTGGAATCGAACCTGGGACCCTTCAGTCCTCAGGCTGATGCTCTATCCACTGAGTCAAACTGGCTAAGGCCACAGGTAACTCTTTTGGGGACAGCCTGCATATGCAAATATTGATCAGAAGAATGTGACAAGAGCCTTCTTTTAGGCAGCAGAGCGGGAAGGAGTTACTGGTGAGCAGGTGTGGCATCCCTTTAACCAATTTTGCTTCCAAAGGACTTCTATTCCTGGCTGCACTTTCCGAAGAAGCAACTCTGAAGCATGTGAGCACATATAAAGAATACAGGCAAATAGCCCTGGCTGGTGTGGCTCAGTTGGTTGGATGTCGTCCCATGGACTAAAAGGTTGCTGGTTTGAGTCCCAGTCAGGACACATGCCTGGGTTGAGGGCTCAATCCCTGGTAGGAGGCATGTAGGGGGCATGCAGGAGGCAGCTGATCAATGTTCCCCACCCATCAATGTTTCTCTCTCTCTCCCCCCCACTTCCTTCTCTTTCTTAAAATCAATAAAAATCATTTTTTAAAAGAATAAAAGCAAATAGAAGATTTCTTGAAAATCTATGGTGGAAATCATTCATAACTAAATGATTCTAATAGTATAGTTAGTAGGTAGAGCTGCTATAGAGAATACCTTTCTTAATGATTATAAGTAATCTATATGAAAAAGACTCATACATGCTGGCTAGTACAGCTACAGAAGCTATTTGATTAAGCCACCATTTCCCAAACCATAAAAACATAATTATTTAGCTTACCTCAAATAAAGAAGCATAATTGCCTTTTATACCACATCTCAGAAGTTTGGTACAAACATTACACCTGCAATGGACATGTTTTTCCCGCCCTTTATTTAAGCCAAGAATTCTGTGCACCTTCTTAAAGCCTACTCAACCACAAAGTGTCAGGGTGGGATCTAGAAGTCTGTATCCTAGACAGTCTTCTAGGAAGGACTGTGCTTCTGCTGCATGCATAGGTCTCAGAACTGTTTTGAGCACAGGGAGGGGGTTGGGGTTGAGAGCTCCCACATTATTATTCATCAGGAGCCTTTGCATTGTCAACCTCACACCACGCTCAGTGCAGAATGTGCTGCGGGAAAAGGGATGAAACGGTAAATCTGTAAATCAACTTCCGAAGAGCCTGTGAACTGGAAATGGCTAACTCTTTGGCTGGAACCATTTTTGACACCTCGTTTTATTTTCATGCAGATGGCCACTGTTTGGTCATTTTATCTCTGAGTAGACGTTTGGTAGGACTTTCTGCCATTAAAATGCATTAGGTGCCCATCTTAAAAAGGCCAAGATTTTCATTGATGTAAGAACATCTGAATACAGTCAGCTTTAATCAATAGAAGAAAAAGAACAGGTTTATGCAAGGAAGTGTTCCTCTACACAGATATTTTTACAGGCACACAGAAGAGACGGCAAAGAAAGGCCGCACACATTTCCCGGGGAGAGCTACTATGACATCAATTAATTCTATATAATAAAAGGCTAATATGCAAATTATTCCCTCTACAGTTGTTTGTGTGGGGTTTGGGCCAGCTGGCCAACCGCCCACAGCCCCTCTCCCTAGCTGGCCCCACCCCTAATCACCTCCTCTCTCACTCGGATCAGAGTGGGCTGGCCGTCCCCCCCCCATGCATGAATTTGTGCACTGGGCCTCTAGTTTATAAATAATTGGACAGGTATTTCATGAAAATGACAAAAACAATTCTGAAGAGTACACAGGTTTTTTAGAGTATATGTAAAGCATGTAGTTAAAATATTCTTCTTTCCACCAATAAAGTTAGAATGCAATTGAAAAATCTAATGTTTAGTAACTTGTTGTGGGATAATTTAAAAGGAAGCTGAAAGCTCATATACCTCTCTGTCAGAAAACCTAAGTATACATGGATGCTGGGAAAAGGAAGTGAATTCCAGGGCCCTGCTTAGGTTTCTATGGCAGCAGATGGCTCTGTTTGTCTGAGACTACTGATTTGAAATAACCTTTCGAAGGCATGACACAGAAAACAATGAGCATCATAGAGCCATATCATAATTCAGACTCTGTTTAAAAAAAAACAAAAAAAAAACTATTCATTGTTTATCAATAACACTAAGCCTAAGTTTGATACTTATTAGCAGAATTTATTAAACTTTATTTTAGACTATTTTATATTTACTAAAAAATATTTAATAGTGGTCAGAGTGGCTCAGTGGTTGAGCGTTGACTTATGAACCAGTAGGTTTTGGTTCAATTCCTGGTCAGGGCACATGCCAGGGTTTTGGGCTCCATCCCCAGTGTGGAGCGTGCAGGAGGCAGCCAATCAATGATTCTCTCTCGTCATTGATGTTTCTATCTATCGCCCCTTCTCCCATTCCTCTCTGAAATCAATAAAAATATATTACAAAATATTTAATAGCTGTAGGCCATTACTGTCAGTAACTTTTTAAAAGGCAAATAGCCAGCCAACAAATACATTTATGAT